CGCCAGACACGCCTCCTTCCACCAGTGAAAACCGCACCTTTCTATCTTGTGCCTATCAAAAGTTATTCAAAAAATACCCACCCGCCTTCTTTTTTGGAATGGGCAGTAATTACGTAGTTTAACTGTTGCTGTATTCTTTTCATTGCAAACAAGCAAATAGATGTCTTTAAATCATGTTCTATTTTATTGAATGAACATCGAATATAATATTGAAGATAAAATAAATATTCTGAAAAAGCAAAAAAAAATACTTGAAAATTTGTCTTTATGAATTCGATAGAAATGTCAATTATCAACATTAACATATTTATTTTTTGTTGACAGACTTCACTGTCGTTGAAATCGTCTTGTTTTACTTCAATTACTTCTTGCGCTTCTGATTAGTGGCCATTTGTTGTTGTTTACGTATTCGAAGCACAGCAGTGATGATTGTCAATACAATACATACAATGTAGTATGCGATCAAGATACCCACATCAGCACCGAGATTAGTGTACGAGCCAAACAGCAGATGTCGACCTCCACTCAAACAATGAAAGAGAGGTAAGCCGTAGCCAATATAATAAAATCTATATTGAAGCTGAAGTACCAAACTCGCTCCTGATGCTGAGAGATTGAGGATAATAAAGAGTATAAGTACGATATTAGCCATTACTCCCAAATTGAGAGTGAAAAGAGCTATTATAGATGCGAATGCGAGGGTAACAAGCCAGTTGAAAAACCAAAATCTAATAAACGGACCAGCGCTGGTGAAGTTACCGAACCAAAGAACACATAAACTGTAAATGAGTGATATGATGAAACTATTAAGAAAGATAGTTGTAATACGTATTATTGCCATATCGATGATTTTGACTTTAGTAATGAGTGGTGCTGTAATGCGTATATTTACTGTAACAAGAGCACTCATGGTAAGCCAGAGAAAGAGATAGCCAAGAGTAGTGGTGAGCAATCTGGTGTAGGGATAGGCAGGATGAAGATTCACATAAGTGAAGCCGATAGGCGACCAGATAATTTGAGACATTGAAACAGCTGTTATGACGCTGTCTAATGTCACATTTGAGTAAGAGTCAATACGAGACTGTATGTAAGAAGAATAGCTAGTGCTAGCAACAGTAATAGCTCTTTGAATAGGAGGTAAAACGAATCCATTGATGCTATTTGCATTACGACCTTCGTCATAAACAATGTTTACTGCCGATGAAGGAATGTAAGAAGTCGAGCCAATTGTATACCCATCCAAAATTGATTGGATGATCTGATTAATACTAGCAGTAATACCTGGATTCATATAAACAACGGCCCAAGCTTTTCCACTTTCAATCGCGTCGACAAAAACTGATGGAGAGTCGACGGATTGTATGAAAATCCAGTTAAGCGTTAAGTTACCAGATGGAGTTTGGTGAAAGGCATTGAGAAAGTAGCTACCTGCAGTGTCTTTATCCAAATCGCTTACGTACACATCGAGTAAGCCTGTGTACTTATAAGGATCCTGCGTTCAAAATGAAAACCAAGAGCAATGAAAAGATAGAAATCAAAAGAAAAAGAGTTGATATCTGATCAATCGTATTTTTTTTTCTGTTAAAACTATTTGTTTAGAATATCATAACTGCTACTCAATAATGTGATCGAAAATAGGGGTGAGAAAGTTATTGTTATTGTTATTAATAACAATAAAATTAACTTTTTGATTCAAAACAATCAATGAAACAATTCTAAGCATAGTTTGTACGAACATCAAAGGATCACTTTAGTAATACAGTGTCTTTTCTTACCATTTGATATAAGAACTTCTGGTGAATATTTTGAGAAATTTCAAAATAATATATTTTGTTATTGTTATTGCTAAATAACAATAACAATAACAATAACAAAATATGTTATTTTGAAATTTCTCAAAATATTTATCGCAAATTCTTATATCAAATGGTAAGAAAAGATACTATATTACTAAAGTGATCTTTTGACGCTCATACAAACTATGCTTAGATTTGCTTCATTGATTGTTTTGAATCAAAAAGTTAATGTTATTGTTATTAATAACAATAATATTAACAATAACTTCTCACCCCTAATTGAGAATCACACGTTTTATATGAAAACATTGTCTTCATATTAATCTATCATTAGAATTTTTTTATTACGAAAAAAAACATATTCGAATAATAAGACTTGAAATTCTCTAAATGAATAAGAAGTTATCTGTACAAACGTTTTTTTTATCTCTTTAAAAACATTTTTACATTCATCAATTATCTATTTTATAGTGAAGATAACAGAATTCTAACATATTTAATTTGTAACATATGATTTAAATAAAACAAACAAATCATTATCTTAATGAAACAATTTGAGACAAATATTTAAATAGAATAGATAAACGTACTGTACCACTACCGAGATAAATTAGTGCAATAAGAAAGATAACGATCCAGACAATGATACAGACACGAATCGTGTGAACAATAAGTGTTCGACGTATCTTGGCCATATCGGCACTCCTGGACCATACATGTGATGGTGATGATCGATTTTGAGTAAAGAAGAGCATTAGAGACACTTTTTTTCTATAGAAAATGATGATAACAAATGAAAATGAATGCAATCGTTACGTTCGTCAATAATTAACAGCCAAATTCGTCATGTTTTTTTTGTTCTGTATCGACACATAATGTGAGTGCACTGAAGTATGTCGCATTGTTATTTTGTTTATCAACGTATATTTGTATATGCATGAATCTTATTATTATTATTACTATTATTTTTTATTCATGCTACAACAGCAACAATTGACTCGTAGTAGTGCTCGCACCTCGGCGTTAGATCCGACAACAACTACCGACTTTGTTCATGTGTGGTCATCACGAAAAGACATTGCTGATCTGCGTGTCAAATTTATATACCAGTGGATTATCGGATGTGTTCCACTTTGGATATTCATCTTTATAATGTGCGTGTTCTATCTGGGTTCTGGACATAATCCGAATCGATACACGAACAATCTAGATGTTGCTATAGTCGATTTTGATGGTGAACAAGCAGGTAGCTTCTCTCTCAATGCTTTTCGAACTACACCACCTGGAAATTTGACTCTTCACTGGGAATACAAGAATCCGAATGACTATGGCAATAGTGTGAATGAGGCTCAACAAGCTGTCGATGATGGACAAGTGTGGGCCATTGTAGTACTTCGACCAAATATCACGTCAACTATTAATAAGTCTTTATATGCTCTGATCAATTCTACAACATTGGTGACTTACCCATTTGTTAATACACCTCCTGTACTTGTTACCTATGATGAAGGACGAAACCCATTTACTCAAAACGTTTTTGTATTACCACCTATTCGTGCAGCCATTGCGACAGCCAACCATCAGTATAGTCAAGCACTTCGTACAACAATCAGTTCCATTTTATCATCTACAGCTTCTTCAAATAGTAATCGAACATTGCAGCTGCAGAATTCTCTAAGTCTTAAACAGCTCCTTGCCAATCCATTCGTTGTACAATATAATAATCTTCACCCTGCTCTTCCTTATGTGGGTATGTTTGAGTCTAATATTATTGGAACTAAAAGAAATCTTGAAATTGCTGTCAAAATTCTAAACTTGTTCTCTAAATAAAAATACTAGTACATACAGAGTGCCCTAAAATTATAACATCCCCCTTCTCCATCAAATTTTGCAAACAACAAAGATTTCTTCTACTAAAGAAAGTTTCATTCTCGATCCAATGTCATACCTATAGATACATAGTAGAAGTCTATCATCTGTGATATTGATTGAATTTGATCAATTAGTATTAATGAAGAAATTTAAAAACTTCCGAAGTGCAGCTATTTCATAAATAATAGCACTCTCTCTCTTCCTAAATTTAAAAATATTGAATTAATACTAATTTTACCAATTTGAAAGCTTCTTTTTCGGTATCCAGTCGAAAGAGAAGACATTCAGCTACATACTTAAAAAAGCAAGGTCTGCGGAACCTAATTTAGCTTTCCTAACATTTAAGAAATTAAATGGTAGAAAAGTGGAAAAGTTAAACCTCAATATTATCACTATATAGTTCGAGAACAATGAGTTTTCACCTATTCAATGTAGTAAAAACGGGATTTAAACTATGCCATTAGAAAGAGCATCAAATTCTGCACAAGATAGACTATTTTTCTCTTGTCGTAAGTTAATTTCAGAAAACATTATCTCACAAATCTATCCAATTTTCTCCTTTTTGCAGTAGAATGACGAGTCCCTTTGCCCAGTTCGTGAGATAATATTTTGAAATTAACTTACGACAACCGAAAAAATAGCCTGTCTTGTACAGAATTTGATGCTCTTTCTAATGGTATAGTTTAAATCCCGTTTTTATTACATTAAATAGGTGAAAACTCATTGTTCTCGAACTATATAGTGATAATATTGAGATATAACTTTTCCACTTTTCTACCATTTAATTTCTTACGTAAATAGCAGGAAAGTTAAATTAGGTTCCAAACATCTTGTTTTTTTTTGAGCATGTACCTGAGTGTCTCCTCTTTCGAATGTATACCGAAAAAGAAGCTTTCAAATTGGTAAAATTAGTATTAATTCAATATTTTTACATTTAGAAGGAGAGGGAGTGCTCTTATTTATGAAACAGCTGAATTTTGGAAGTTTTTGAATTTCTTCATTAATACTAATTAATCAAATTTAATCAATATCACAGATGATAGACTGCTACTATGTGTCCATAGATATGATATTAGATCAAGAATGAAGCCTTTTTTAGTAGAAGAAATCTTTGTTGTTTGCAAAATTTGATAGGGATGGGGGAGGGGTGCTCTAATTTTGAGACTTCCTGTATATTGACCACTCTCTTGATAATAATTCATAAATATATCTTACGATCCGAACTGCTGATGAAGAAAGACAAGTCTCATTTTATACATATCTAATATGATTTGTCTTGCTTGATTTAGGTCAATTGGCTACAACTAATGGCTACATTTATTTATTTTTAGTGACAACTATTGTAGTTAGTTCAGTTATCGGCACCGCAAAACCTTTGAGTAAGATTAATGTTTTCTTCTTGTTTACTAGGAGTTGTTTTATTTGAAAACAGACATATAACGTTGAGAAAATCAATCCTATCATTTTTAAATAGGTAATAAAAAGCTGATAAATTATCTTGCATAGCATGACAATCTTAGCTTTAGTAGATATTTCCAAGCTGTGTTTTAATCAAGACTATAAATGCTTTCGAAAAATTGAGTGTGTTGATCTGTAAAAAAAATAGCATTCATAGATCAAGAGTGATTAAAAACAAAATTCAAATCCACTTTTTTAATTGTTATTATTTATGGCAAATAGGTACATAGTTAATTGGTCTAAATAAACAAATTTCTTAGAGAAAAATCTGCACTATCATCTAAACAAAAACTCATCGAAATATATACAAGTTGTACAATGTTGCAGGTGCTTCACTAATCTTCAGTGAACTTTTTTCATCATAGATTTTTGAAAAGCATTATTTTTTTTCGCCAAAGTTACATGTTTTTGTTAATATTGTTTTTCAGTGTCTATTATTTTAATCAAATGATATTATTCATATTTGTTGATTATTATTTCAACAAAAACATGTAGCTGTTACGAAAAAATAATATTTTTCATAAATATATGACGAAAATAGTTCACTGCAAATTAGTAAAGCCATTGCAACAATATACGATTTTAATGAATGTCGATGAGTTGTTGTTCAGTTGATAGCGCTGATTTTTCTGTAAAAAATTTGTAATTTAAACCAATTAACTGTGTATCTGTTTGCCATAAATAATTCAGTTTAATGAGAGAGATTGAAATTTTTGAATCACATACCTAGTGAAAAATAATCAAGGAAAAAAACGGAAGTAAATGCATTCAGCAAAACATGGATAATTATCTTTCCCATGAAGAACACGTTCTATAGTTTGGTGAATGCGTCCATGAGCGACAACAATAAGTTATGCATCTGAAGGAACGCATTCTTTGCTGTTCCACGTTTTTATGGGATGGTTTCTTCTCGATTGAAAATCGTTCTTCATCTGAAGAGAAAGCTTTCTGAAACGTTCATTTTTGGAACAGTCAGGATCGGATTCCATCAAAATGAGAATGCTTTCTTTGACGTTCTCTCAAGAAATACTTGAGAATGGATTTTTCGAATTGATGAACGCTTTCTCTGTCGTTCTCCTAATTGTCGAATGCTTCCTTGTGAATTAAAAAGCCAGTATTAAAAATACAGAACACCTTCTCGTTCGTTTCATAGCCTACATGAAATTATCCCGTTATATTGAGAAAGAATATTGGCTAGCTCCAAATGGATTTATCAGCGTTCTCAAATATATTAAATTGTTTTCTCATTATTTTCTGCATAAAAAATTATCATCATAGCTCTTAATTAGTTCTTTTATCAACATCTGTTTTCAACATTGAGCTTTTAGCTGTCGATATCGTGACAGTCTTATTTACAATACACTGACAAAAACAATAAAAATAGACACAAGCAATATGCAACAATAAGAAGAATTCTAGAAAAATTTAGAGTCATTCGGCAAACGAGTATGTTAGGGTACGTTTGCCCTTGGAGTTCGATTTGGATAGATGTTGATCTTTCTTCTATTTTATTAAGAAATAACAGTGTCCACCGTATAATAGTTATGTACGCACATATATAATATCAAGATATAAAGAAAGAAGAGGAGAAGAAAGACCACAAACAAAGGTAACAAGAAAGAAAAAACATAGAGAAAGATGTCGTTCCTAACACCCTTCCCCTTACAAAAAAGTTTTCTGTTCACAAATTACTTTTAGCTTTTTTCATATAGAAAGATGTGAACAACAGAAAAAAAGAAAAAGAGAAGAGGAAAAAAAATCTGACATAACTATAGCAGTTAGAGAAAGAACAAGTTCAGAATATCACATAGAGAAAAAGAAAAAAAAATATATAGTTAAGAAAAATTCATAAGGTATACGCAGAGCAGAAACATCCCTAAAGAGGAGTTTCCTGACATCTGATATAATGTTGATTTTTGTAATAATCAATTTTTGATAATGCAATCCGTATGGAAATGATGGTACTTATTGATAATTAATGCGCGCATATTAAAATATCAATTTCTCCACACACATAAATGAATTAATGTTGTCCCATGAAAGTCGTTGCGCATACGCCAAACATAGTCGAACACCAACCATTATAACATAATAAAACATATACATTAACAATAATTGATCCTTAACAAAAAATAAACATTAATATTTTACATTGTTTTGGAAATAAATATAGGTCGAATATCATTGACATGCACTCTCGATTCGACCTGCGTATCTTCATCTTTAACCCAATCTTCGTATGTTTTATGTAATACAGATAACCATTGATCAATATGAATCATTTCTTCTTCAGTTAATTTCTTAATAGATTGTAGAGCCACCTTTTCTTGCTCTCTTAATAATTGTAA